ATTTAGCCGCTACGGTGATCTTGAAGTTCTCAGATCTCACCGAGAGTACGCGTAGATCAGGATATCTACGATCTATGTAGACATAAGATGGATATGTGTTTGTGAATTTAACCGTGAAAATACGAGATAATAATATACTCTGAATGTATTTCTCTTCGGATACATCACGCATCAAAGCGCGTATGTAAGTATGTTCTAGAATGTATCTAAGTAAGTATATAGGATAACATTAATATCGTTTTCACAGAATATTTTCTTTTAAATTAAACAAAACATTGGACGAGAATATGTTTAAGCACTCGAACGATTTCATTTTCGGAATCCTCCATCGATAAGAAAATGTCTAACCAGAGGAGGCTTACAAAATTCTTGAAATAACACCTTAAGCGAGCTTGTTGAGAAAGTCATTGAACTGAACTTCTTCGAAATGTCGAATTGCAAATATCAATTTTTTTCTTGTTTTCTTTTTGTTCGATTTTTATTTTCTTTTTTTTTTCATATATATTTTTATCTTCGAGATACTTGGAAAAAATAAATTTTCGTGGTTAGATGTTTCACAGTTCATCTTTACAAAAAACAAAAAGGAAAGAAAGAAAGAAAAAAGAAGAAGAAGAAGACAGCAAAAAATCTACAAAATTCATTGATCATCCCTTTTTTTAAGGACAAACATTGAAATTATATAGAATGAATTGAAGAAATGTATTCTCTCGAATGTTTTGAATAATTTCGAAATACTTAACAAACAAAAATTAAAATGAGAAAAAGAAGTAATAAAAGAACGAAGTGAAAAAAAAAACAAAACAAAAAAAAATAAAGAACAGATCTTCGAAGTAAAAGATATCTATCAACGATATAGATCGATTTTAGTTTCCCGCATCTGCGGTTAGAGTAATCCGTTATGCAGAATCATCGTAATATGAGATGAGTGCCGTAAGGCATTAACATCGTAGTCTCTTGTTTGTCCCTGAAAAAGAAATCCTCTTTTTCTCTTTCTTTTTTTCTATCCCCCCTCCGCTTTTTCTCTCTCCCTCGCTCTCTCTCTCTTTCTCACATCCATCCCTTACAAAGATCACGTTCGACGTTGGTTCGACACTGACCCATACATTCGTTGTTCATTGGCCCACTTACGTTTTACCTGACGTGGCCGAGCAATTTTGTTGATGACAATTCATGTTGAGATTTGCTCTCGGACATTCACATAATTTCGAGAGTATCATCAGCAAAATAGATATTCTTGTTCACAGTAATTAAATTAATTAATAATTGTTAATGATAAGGATGCGTGCACACTGTTACGTATACGCATTGCAAAAGAAATATAAAAACGAAAATAAATGTTCATTCGATTTGTCTTAAATTGAATGGCAAAAAAAAAAGGTTTACAAGAAATAAGAAGGGAAGAAAAAAACAATTATGTATTTCAAACGGATTTTTTTTACTATTAGTATCCTTTGAAAAGAAAAAAAAAAAAAAAAAAAAAAAAAGAAAAAAAAAAAAGAAGGAAAGGTTCACGACGAATCAGAAAAGGTCAATGAATCGTAAAATGTCAATTTTGGAAGGAAATGATACTTTCCCTCTCCTCAAACACGCTAAATAAATAATCCCCGTCGCTCTGCTGGATGTTCAGAAACGAGCTAGCCAGCCGGATCGATCGTGAGCTCAATTCTAATTCGAGCTTGAACGAGCACGACGTTCGTTCAATTTTTTTCCTTTTCAGGTAAGATAAATTTTACTGGGAATAATATCACATTCCTACGACAACGAGAATATAATTTCGATCGAAATATTTCAATTAGATTTTATTTCGAATTAATGTTACGATTATTTACGACTTCAATTATTACTATCCATTAAAATTAATTTATTATTGATTTAATATTTTTCATAAATCTTGATAAATTCAAATTAATCTTGTTCATATATATGCATGTCATACATTTTATAACAAAATTATAACAAATGTCATTTACGATTTTAATCTTAAATATTATATTTGCAACGAATGAAAAAAGAAAAAAAAGAAACAACAACAAAACTTAATTTTTAATAAATTAATAATAATCGAACGAAGTAATCAAATATAGTGACATTAATTATAGATTTTGTAACAAATGTGAAGAAAAACGTTCTCGTTAAAAGAAATCAAAATTCTTAGTAATAAATTGTTTGACATCGATTCTTGCTGCAGCTGGTGGTGCAAGAGAGAGAGAGAGAGAGAGAGAGAGAGAGAGAGACAGACAGAAAGAGAGAGAGAAAAAGAAAGAAAAAAAAAGAAAAAAGAAGGACGTTAGAAAAATAGTTTTCTCGTTAATCAGCGTACCATATGGCCCGTTCTTGCGGGCGCGTGCTGCCCCTACGATTAAAGTACCTTTAATTGATTTGCTTCGCATCGAATATGGGATGAAAGCGTGTAGCACACCGGATGAATTGGCTCGAACACCAGCCAAGTCGTCCGTGTAAATGAACTGAATTAGAGTTGATGCTCACTCAGTTGGGAACCCTTTACGAAAAGAAAAAAAAAAAAAAAAAAAAAAGAAAGAAAAGATCTCCTGCTCTACTTCACGAATATCTTTGCATTTAAATATACGTAAGTATAATGTATATGTGTGTGCTTGTGTATATAATATATATATATATATTATATATATTGTGTGTATATATATATATATATATATATATAAGGTGTTTCTGAATTAAATAGAATATATATGATATAGGTATATAAAGAAGAATATCTTAATATGTTGATTTATTATTATTAAAAAGAAAAAAAGAAAAAAGAAAAAAAGAAAAGAAAGAAAAAAAACCCCGGATGAACTAGAAACAAAAACGTTTTATCAATTATATTGCTAATTATTTAATGAAACAATATTTTGTCCTTTGACAATTCGTTCGTATGATAACGATTATCCTATAATAGGAGGGGTGTTATGTTAGATGAAACGTCCTGTATATACGCATATGAATATGGTGCATAACGCGATGCATCTTGATGCACCTACGCGTAATAATCAATAACACAGTACCGTTCGTTATTACATTATCGCGTTCCCATATTATGGCACATCGTTGAGCCAATAAATTGACGATTACGATAGCTTTCAATATGTTTGTCATTATAGTAGATTGATGATGGGAAATTGAGTGTCCATGTTTAGAATAAATGAGGACAAAATTGAATACACGTTGTTAAGATGGATAATGACTATGAGGGAATAAGAAAATTGATGATTCTGATAAACATACAAACACACACACACACACACACACATACATATATATACATATACATGTATTTGTACGTAAGCCGTGGAGACAGAGTTAATAATTTTCTATCGAATAATGAAAATATATTTTTCACCATAACTGTACGTTGCGTTACGCAACGAGATTGGAATGCGAGCGATACTTATGGAAAGTTGAGAAATATGAGAGACAGGTCGCGCTAGAGTCTAGAATCACATACTTCAACCCATTTTTATAATACAGAGTTACAGAAATGGAGCAAGCGAACGTGAGAGTTTCGATAGAAATGGGTTAACGTCGGTATTCTCCATATATGTATATATATATGGCTTCCAACCTTTCAAGTGATCTCCTCTCCTCTTTCGACGAGTAAATATCAGAATACGATCGGAACGCTTGAGACGAGAGAAAAATTAAATAAATAAATTAAACGAGACTTTTACGATAGGCCTTAACGGATTATCGTCAATTCTTAAAGAAAAAGTCAAATGAAAATATAACGAAAAAATATTTTTTTTTATGTTATTATATAAATATACATACCTTATATTCGTTTATTAGATTTAGAATTAATATGAAAGAAAGAAATGTTAAATCACTTCTTTCCATGGAGAAAAAAGGGTCTATTCGATCGATTAATAATTAAATACGTATTATTGCAATAAATACTTAATTTTTTTTTTTTTTTTTTTTTTAACTAAACAGATAATAGAATTACTACAAAGGCAATAAATGATTTTAATTGGATTTTCCCATGTAAATATTTCTTAGTCAATTCGATTCATAACTCCTTTCATCCGATCAATAAATAAATGTATTTTATTATTCCAAACAATCACTAAACCCTTTTGAACCGTTCATACTCGTTTATTATAATACTTAGAATTAACAGCAATAAAAAATATTTAATTCGATTTCTCCGAGTACATGCCGATAACATATGATTTATTAACAATTATTAACGATTAACGACTAACGATAAATCTGTAGAAATTATTTTAATATAAATTTTTTTGTTTCCTTTTTTTTTCCCTTTTTTCCTTTTTTTTGTTCTATTACGTTGACACTAAAAATTGTATCGTATAAGCAGAGGCACGTGGTTGTTAAAAAAAAAAAAAAAAAAAAAAAAAGAAACCAAAAAAGAGAATAAAGGAAAAAAGAAAAAAAAAAGCAGGCAAAATTTTTCTCTCGAAAATATCTGATCGTCGTCGATTGGTCGTAAGCATCTTCTCTTTAATTACTATAATAATAACGGGTTCTCGAAAGCCAAGCCGGAAATTAAAGATACGTCTTTTTCGCTCTGGGATATCTCAGAGAGATTTTTCCGATCAAACGGAGTATATGGCCCTTAGGGTCTTATGAGCTCGAGTGAAAGACATCGGAAGTACCGGATGTAACCACTCCTCCTCGTCTTCATTCTGTTTCGCTTCCGATCTCTACCATTAGTCGTTCTATGCAAGTACTACTATGTGTTTCTATCTCTATATATTTCTTTATATCTCTCTTTCTCTCTCTCTCTCTCTCTCTCTCTCTCTCTCTCTCTCTCTCTCTCTTGTCTGTATTTCTTTCTCTGTCTCTCTCTCTCTTTATTTCTATGGAGAGGAATGAATGGGACACGCAACGACGAATTGCCGGACGTGCCGAGCCTCTTTCAAACTGGATGAATATGTAAATTTGTTTCTTTCGATAGAAATGAAAAAAAGAAAAAAAAAAAAAAAACGTTAAAAAAGAAAAAAAAACAAAAACCGAAGAAAGAAGAAACGACGAAAAATCAACTGACACGATGTCTCGAGTAGTAATAAGATAATCGATAAGTTAAATTGAAATTTTAATCGATAAGTCAAATTGAAGATTTTTCATTGTCGCAATGATGATCAATAAGTAAGAACGAAAAAAAAGAAAAAATAAAAAACGAAATGTTTGCCATAATTCATCGAACGTTTATTCTCAAATCGTTATTGAAAAACTTTCGATTTTGCTATTTTTTTCTTTTTTCTTTTATTATTATTATTATTATTATTATTATTATTATTATTATTATTATTATTATTATTATTAAAACTAATTAATATTTAATATTAAATCAATGAAGGAATTACAAAAGAAATATATTTTCCCCGGAAGATATCTTTAAACGTTTATCTCCGATCGAGTTATGTCGATCGGAGATAAAAGATCCTAATAGCGATCAGTTTGTCGAATGGAATTCAACGACGAGGAAAACTTTCTCGTCGCTTAGGTGTAACGACATACGACAGGAAAGTAGCCTCGAGACCAGGTGGAAACGGTAGCTGCTTGACTGAATGCCTTATGAAGCGAGAAACGAACGGACATCCTCGGGTTACGTAACTGCCCTCAACTAATACATATATATATATACATACATACATATGTATGTATATATATATACACATATATATATATATATATAGAGAGAGAGAGAGAGAGATACGTATAATATATAGATACGAAGGAGAAAGAACCTTTCAACCTTCTCCCATGGCGCACCTTTCTCTTAGCGAAATAACGACGGTGAATACTGAAAAGTATTTGAACAGGGTCGAACAAATGAACAAATTGAACCCAATTCGATGCTAAAAACGCATTTCATCTTTACTTCTGACAACCTACGCTATGTAAATCGAGGTTTGGAAACGGTAGTTCAAACTTTGTACGTGAAATCGACGTACAAAGGTAAATGCAGATATACATATATAGGTATGCATACAGATAGGCATGTATAATATATATATACGCGCGTATATTTATTTCCGATGGACTTTTTTTGAAGATTTATGACTCGTATTTATCTCGTTTTTCCCATTTTTTTTTCTCTTTTTTTATTTTTTTTTTTTTTATTTCATATATACATATACACACATATATCTCTCTGATATATGTATTAACAATTGTTTATAAATATTGTCTGGGCAAACTTAAAAATTTAATGACGATATATATTAATTATATTATATTTTTTTATCATCAAATTATTATTATTACAAGTGTAATATAATAATGGTTTGTGTATTGTCAACTGTAAGTATATTTAGGGTAGATCGAAAATTTAGTTCTAAATTAATTTGATAAGCTGAAGAAAAAAATTTGTTCCGAAAAAGAGTCCCGAAAATGAGTAATTGATTTAAAAAAAATATATATATATATTTATCCATATCTTTCTTTTTCTCTCTCTTTCTCTTTATCTCTTCATACATATACCTATAGATATATATATGTATGTATGTATAGAGAGTTGAAGATATACAAGACGCGATACTGATGTTTAACTAGCAGGAAATTACAGCAACGCGGGATGACTCGCCGTGGGACGGAGAAATTAGCACGGATACCTTAATTGTTCTTCTCTTATGGTGCTTCGTGGCTTCACTAAGTAAGAGATTTTTTCCAGAGCTTCCTCCTTCTCTATCGTACTATCTCTATCTCTATCTTCAACCAACGAGAACGTTTATTGACTTCTTCTCGGATTTTAAACCTAAACTCAAGTTTAAGACGATAAACAGAATCGTTTTTTCTTCTATCTTTTTTCCGCTTTTTTTCTTTTTTTTTTTTTTTTAAATCGACTATCTCCTTTATTTACGATCTATGATATGTACGTGTAAGAAAAAATAAATATATGCATTTCTTTTTGTTTAAACTTATCTCATAAATATCGTGATTTTAAATGATCTTTTAATAAACCTAACATAAAGCGTTAGGATAAGTTTATAAATTAGAAAAATATAAATTAGATATCGATTGGATTTTTATAATATTTATAGGATATATTTGAAAAGAAATTAATTTACCAATTCGTCTATACCTATCTGTGCAATTTTTTGTCCAGATTTAAAAAAAGTTCCATTTAACTTTCTGCACTGTATTAAATTTTTCCATATATAATTTCAAAGTTCTTTAGAAAGAGTTAATCGATTTGAAGAATTGTCCTGACATTTTTATGGCCGATAATATATTACATATATACATGCATACATACATACGTACATACATACATACATTCATACATATATACATACATGTATACGTATATATCAACAAGAATAAGACGAATCGATTTACATATTACGTAGAAACGATTCATTTTGTATGCAGAGTCGTATGAAATATTCGATATCCGTTTTGAAAGACGACACTGGATAGCATCCGGCCGAGAATACGTCTGGACCGCATCGTTTGACCAATCATAGATCTATCTATTAATACGGAATGGAGTGCAATCAGCGTAGAACATCCGGT